ACCAAATCGCTGACCAAAGGTATTTTCTTTAGAGAAAAAAATATGACACATATGAAAATGTTAACTTATAATGACAATTCCATTTAATAAGTAGCAAGTGTACCCAAAAATTATTGCTGAATATACAAAGGGGTTTTTGTACAGTCCATGTTAAAAACTAATTATTTTCAACTTATCTGAACTCCTGTAGAATTTGCAGAATTCACAAACTATTTCTTCTCTATTCTGATCTAAACTTAACATAAGGAAATACCTGTCAATTTAGAATGACTTAAAATATTGAAAACAAAAATGAGAGAAAGCAGAGAAGACCACCCTCTGTAATAGGAGACAGCAAGATGAAGGCTGCCTGTTAGCTTTTAATTCTAAACACCTACTTCTGACCCTGAAAAGAGCAGTTCTCAAATGACTATTTATTCTAATTAGTTTTCCTCTAATTGGAAAAAACACCCCCCCAATATGAAGGACAGAATCCTAAATTCTTATTGATACCAACCAAAAGAAGGGGAGTCTATGCTACTGAGCTCATTTCAAAGCCTGTAAAATCATCAGTGCTGCTTGAGAACTGACAAGAGAATAGTAAAATGCTGTATCTGACACAGCTAGTACATCCTCACCTCTTAACTGTACTGGAAATCTATTTTCTAAGGAAATCTTACAGAATCACTTACCCATTTAGTGAGCAAACATGGAGACTGCACTGGCCTACCACTTAGGATATCACCCACAAACTGTTCCTTTCTAGCCCCTCAGAGGGCAGGGCAAGAGGACAGTTCCTCACAGAGGCAAGGTCACATGAGCCCTGAGGGGGGCATCCCACTGACAGCTGAGGCTGTTGAATGCTCATCTTCAGTCAGCGTCGTAACAAACCTCCAGCACCAACACTCTGCTACTGTGAAAACCACACATGCCCCCCTCCAGAAGACACTCATCCACCACACAGTTGCAACTCTGAAGGAGACCTGAGGACACATACTACAAAACTCAAAGTGTGAAATGGCAGTAAAGAATTACAAGCAGCCAACTCATTATTCAATCAAGAACGTGACACAATCATAAAGCATGCACTACCTATTTTGTCTAATATCCCCTGCTATCAAGTGAAATCCCAAATCCAAACTAAGCAAAACATGATTTTTCTGAGCTTTTTTTTCTGTCTGAAAATACTATTACAAAAAGAGAACAGAATACAGTACCTACTGTTGGCATGAGGTTTCTATTCAGTAAAGTGATATGATTGGTATCTCTTAAGCCATTAAAAAAAAACTATTTGTATCCAAACCAAGCAAAGCAATGTCTATACATTTGCATTACAAGGCACGAAATATGTGGGTCTCCAAATACGTGATACTACCAAATTACCTTCTTAGCCATGTGGGGAGCAATGCTTGAGAATAAACTATTATCTACCTAGATTTTTATAAGGCAAGCTTTCTATTCTAGTCTACATGATTTGTCTGTAAAAGCTATTTATTACTAAGTACACAAAACTCCAGTCAGGTACTTCCTTGCTGATCTGCTCTGTAACCACATGGTGGCACTATCAATCATTATTATCTCTATACTTAGTACAGAGAATCACACTATAGTCATCAGGTGAGTATCTAAGTTTCCTGAAACTGTTTACTCAGGGGAAGTTTTGCTGCTTTATGCAAGAAAGGAAAAGGAGTCTCCCTTGCTCTTCCACAGCACAAGTAGGTCTTCTGTGTCATTTTCTAACAGGGGTACATCAAACCATAAAAACCGCACCAGACTCTATCAGTTACTCATATTCAAACTGAATGTCTCCATGGTGATAACATTATGAACAGGAGCTTTGTAGATTTACACATCAATTCTCAATGATGAAACCAAAGGCATTTTCAAGTGAGTATATGCAATGTGGGAAAATGGATGGCCATTCAGGAAAGCATAAAATATTTACACCTGAATTATAATACTTGATGAATTCACTAACCTGAAGAGACTAGGAAATGTAGCATTAGCCAACACAGTTGAACATGACCCTTCTGAGATCTTCTGCCAAGAAAATATACAAATCCAAAACACTTTTCAACTTTTACGAGTTTCTTTCTTTTTAATCTGATTTAAGCTGACAGAAGACAAATGAAGATGCACAGCCAATCCGGAGCTAACTCTTTTGGGAGGGAAGTAAGCATGCCCAGAGGCATTCTTGTCTGCTATCCTCACGGCATAAGCTGAACGTACCCACATGTTCTCATGCACCATGTTAACCTTTGCATAAGAGCTTCATCATCAAGCTAAGCATGCCCCTAAGCCTATGCATCTTCCCTTCTTGAATAACCTCAAACTACAAATGCTCAAAAGTGTGCCCACCTCTAAAGAGTGTTCCTCTGGGCATGTGCATGTCTCTTCCATAAAATTTGCATGCTTCTTTTGTTGGGGGAGCCACCATTTTGGGAAGAACCTGTTCTTGCTTCCTGCAGTAGCTAACAGAACACTCTCTACTCTTTTAAACAAAGAAAAAACTTACTTTTGCATTCATATTTATTTTGCTAAGTAATATTGATTAACTAGAAATACAATGTTCAAAACATGACAGAGAGAAAATAGGGACTAAATCCTTAACAAAGCCTGGGCGACATTCTGAGAGCTTGTGTTTATATTTTTTTCGTTATTTTTCTAAGTCAAATTATATGTATTTTGAAATTTTTGTTTTATTTTTTAACTAGTGAACTTCCAACTATTTCCTTTAAATTAAAAAATTAAAAATCTAGCTCTCCCCATTCTTCTAGTTACTAACTCAATGCAAAGTCACACCGCTCTATAAAACCCTTCTTACTTACTGCATCTACCTTAGGGTTGTGCATCCTTGATCTTTAGCAGAAGATTTAACAATAGCCTCAAAACACCTGAACTTCACTTCCCCACTCTCAGTTTCAACAGAACACATATTACTCCTAAAAAAGTTCCATGATAGTCCTCTTTAAAGATTACTGTCGTGTCTTCATCTTAGCAAGCATGATATAATACTCAAAACTCTAGTAGTCTAACTGTGACGTGCAGTAAAGTTCATGTGAATTTTAAGCTCCCGTATAAGAAAAGCAGCCATCAGCATTCACCTCTGCTTTGGCACCCAAGTAATCTCGCACACATCCAAACATGTCCATGCAAGGACCATACTTCTTAGGGTCAACCACAAAAAAGTCTGTGCTAATTCTAGCAGGCAATAACAGTTGCTAACAATTATAAAAGTTGTCCTTACCTATTACTAAATTGGGTGATCATACCTCTTGAAAATGTAAATACATAGAATGAGTATCTCAGAATGTAAAATGAAGTGAAATAAAAGACACAAGAAATGAAGTGAAATAAAAGACACACAGTATTTTCCTCATTTTAAGTTTTTTAAAACATTAGTAATTGCTGGGAATATAGTTTGGTAATAGATGGTTTTCCCAGCATGCTCAAAGTTTTAATTTCTAGTACAACATACTGCAGAAAAAAAATAAAAAGAGGCCATGCCTGAAAGGTAAAGCAAGACGACCAAGAGCTCAAGGCCAGCCTGAGTATAGTGAGAACAAGGCTTCCTCAGCAGTTCAGTGACAGCCCATCTTAAAATAAAAAGTTTAAAAAAAAAAAAAACAGGGATATAGCTCAATGGTAGAGAGTACTTGCCTATCATGCACAAGGCCCTGGGTATAATCAACCCCTAGTACCACAAAACAGAACAAACACTATAGTGGTTGTCTTGGATTGCCTTCCACTAGTTTATAGTTCAACAAGAATAAGGATAATTGACTAGATATTTTCCTTGCCTTTATCGGTCTCCCTTCAGTTTTCTCTGAATATTAAGAAGTTGATCTATACAGATCATACCAAAAAGTCCCCTTCCAGGACCAGGGGTGGTATCCCAGCATTTAATCCAAGCACTCAGGAGGCCAAGGCAGGTGTATCTTTATGAGTTTGAGGCCACCCTGGTCTACAGAGCAAGTTCCAGGCTTGCCAAAGCTATCCAGTGAGACTCTATTTATAACAACAACAACAACAACAACAAAAGAGTCTGCGTGTGCATACCTAATAGGGAAATTACAGAACTCAGTATGTTTACAGAAAGCAAGAGGTGGACTATATTGCATTAACCTCCTTACTGCTGAGAAAGGTTGAAAGAAAAATGACTCATAAACTATTGCAGTACAAACCATGAAAAAAATATTTCTACACTAAGACAGAATGAAATAAAAACATTACTTGGTACGAGCTAGTCTTTTTTTTAAAAAAGGAAAAATGATAAATATTTCCTTTTAGAAAGACAGAAGGCAGGAGTTGTGTTTTTTTAAGACTACAAAAAAGTATACTATATTAACTATATTACTTAAACAATAGATAAAATAATATTATAAAACCAAGTAGCACCTAGCAGCACATCTATGCATTAAAAATGTTTATCCACATTTTAAACTTCAAAATTTGGGGGTTATTGATATTCAGTCACTACCTGTAATTTCTCCTTTATCTTTCTTTTTTGGGGGAGAGTCTATCTACATAGCCATGGCTGTCCTGGGACTCCCTATGTAGACCAGGTCATGAGCTCACAGAGATCTGCCTGCCTCTGCCTCCTGATGCTGTGATCAAAGGTGTGTACCATCACACCTGGTTATTTTCTAATTTCAATAAATGTTTTATTTAAGATAAGTCAAATATTTCAATTCATCATAAAATATATTATTCCAAAATAACTTACAAAATATAGCATTCAACACAAAGTAGAACCATTCAAAGTCAAGAATCTAAGAACTTCTCTTAAACTGGTCCCAAATGATATGAGTCTCTTGAGACAAGAGATAGGTATGAGAGCAATGTAACCAACTACTGAGTGAAATAAGTGTATTTAAAGGGGTAACTTTCCATGTAAAACTTGGTAAAAAATTATAAACGTAACACAACTAAACATAAAGAGTACTTGAGACATCACAATTACAGAGCAGAATTTTAAAAATAAAATTGCATATATATCTTCTTTTTTTTTTTTAAATTACCTGCTTTGCAATTTCTCTTAAACAGGCTACTCCTTGTTCAAAATTAGGGAAAGCTACTGAGCCATACTTTTGGTATTCCGGTGTTGGTCTGATTTTTATTGTAGCTTCTGTTATTACACCAAGAGTTCCTGAAAAAGAAGGGAACAATCCAATATATCACATGACAATTTCTAAAACCATATTTAAATCAATTAAATCTATTTAATCAATTGATTCTATTGCTTCATTCTATTATCCACGTTAAATTTATTTAATTCTTCTATTTGGTGAATAATGGCTAATCAAGTCTTTTTAAATGAACAGTTAAGCAAATCTTACAATTTCAAAAATGATTTTAGATTCTTTTTTATATACAAATACTTTAAAACATTTCAAGCCTTCTCCAAGAAAGTCAGTTTTAATTGGTTTTAAAGCATAACTTATTAAAAGAAAAGAATGGAGAAACATTAATCACATATGCATTGATAAAGGTGTATTCTGATGTGTCTATATTTACTATGAAAACACCAGAGCAAAAAGAAGCTAACTTTCTTTAAACTTTAAGATAATTGAAGGTTCTGAGAAACTATAGCCTTGCCTTGTCTCCTCAGATTTAATGCATATAAAGACAAAGGCATTACTAAGAAGCTCTTGTAAGAAAGAAACAAATGTATTCACTGACAAAGCAATTATCACAGTATGAAGCATGAGAAAACCACCAGAAAGACATTATTTACTGCCCGGAAGCAGGGAGAAATTAATCTGAAAGAAAAATAATAAGTTGAATATAAGCACTTATACCAAAATATTTAAAGAAATATGACTAAAAAGGAATATATTCACAAAACCAATTTTTAAACTGTGGTTTCAGATATACAAATATAAATTAATTAACACCATTAGCAAACTTTTCACGATCATTTTAAAAAGTGTAAAGCAGGATGTGAATGAAAATGAAGAACTTAGTTACAACACTGGAAATAAAAGTTCAGGGGTTGTATGGCATCCCTAGAATGACTTACCAAGATGTAACATAGGGTTAAAAACTTGTCTCAGTCCATAGAGTATAAATCAGATTAATGAGATTATTATATGTTAATTAGCTTATTATATATTCATATGTTGCTTCTGGTTTATTTAAAATATGAGTCTCGTAACTTGAATGGTCACAAAATCTCTGTAAGTTTGTCCAATTAACAATTAATATAAAACAAATACAGAATTTAAAATATAAAGTGACTAAATGTTTTTGTTTCCCTATCTTTGGGAAATAATTTCAACAATAAAATTCACCCATTTAAAATTCTAGAAGCCCTCAAAACAACATTATGGCTATTACCATCCTCTTGGTTGCCCTCTGTAACTAGATGCTAAGACCACACTGTTGAAGACACAGTACCCTTTACAGAAATCATGCTGGAACCAACCTGGAAGTTTTCTTCCTGCTGGCTACCTTTTGTACTACTGATCCCTGAATGCTACAGTACCAACCTGTCGGGCAAGACATACACATGAACACAACTGTGGCATGACTGTTAGAGAAGCAAACAACTATTTTCTGGTTGGATCTGAAACCTGGTCCACGGGAGTATACTAATGCCTAGTATTGCCATGCTGGTCAAAAGCCTATGGCTGGGGAGAGCATAGGTCCCGTATATGTGCAAAGGGGTTGGCAGGGCCACTACTGTTGTTTTCCTAAAATGATACTGTCAAACTGCCTTCTAAACTGTGGGTTGCTCATACCCACAGATCAGTGTAGTTCACAAGATCAGAGAAGCGTCTTTTTGCAGTGAACTTCAGTCTGTACAAAACTGGTTACAATGCTGAAAATAGGAGAATATTGCATACAACTCTAAACGGGACATCTGGGTCAACCCCACAAGGTTCAGAGAACATTGTGGAAAAGAAACAGAAAGCATGTAAGAACCAGAGGATGGAGTGGAGTGCTGTAACATGCTGTCATCTATCTGGACATGGTGTGACTGCTGCATTCAGGAACTCAGAGCAGCTATAGTTACCTGCACAAGATTAAGCCAGTCAATAATTGCAGCATAGACCGTGCAGGTGCTTCTAAGTTCTACCCCTAGCTGAGGAGCTATTGGTTGTTGATGGCTGCTACAGGAGGGGAGACTCATTTCTCTTCAGAGAAGAAACCACTGATAGGTTGCCCCTAGTATAGTCACATGTATGCACAATCATTACTATAAACTAAATTTAGACCGCTTTAATCTCCCCCCAAACTGTACCAATTAAATAGCCATGCTCCATTTCCATACCTGCACCTAGCCAACTATTCATAAATATATTCTGTCTTTATTAATATGCATATTCTGGATATTTTATATGAAAGGAATCTCACAGTATGTGGTTTGTGGATTTTTTTCATTTGCTATGGTTTCAAGATTCACAATTTTACACTGATTATCATTATAATCAATGAACTACTGAAAACTCTGGGAGCTGCAATGAAAAGTTCACTTAAAGAACCTGTCCAATAATATATGATCTGGCAAGAACCAGAAGAACAAACTTGAAGACAGACTGACAAAGATTGTGACACATTGTGCTATAAAAATAATAGAGAGAAAACAAAGAAATAATTCTCAGAAAAACATGAAAAATCACTAATTATATTACTAGATAAATAATGAAAGTATTATGAGGGCAGGGTACAGACCATAGGGCAGAAATCCTATACATAAAATGAATTCAATAAATTTCAAACAGGATCAACACAAAAATCCATAAACAGATCATGAAAAAATGCTCAAAATCAAAGACAAGTAAAAAGATTTGAAAACTGCAAATGGAGCTCTTAATTGGACTAGATAATAAAAATATCAGATATAGAGAAAAATACTGAAAGATCAGAGAGAAGGAGCAAGCCACTGCCACACCTTACCTCCTTCATAAAACAAACTTGAACAAATTTCCAAAGACTAAAATAATATAAAATACGTTCCTATTATTGCTGGACATAAACTATCCCCCATAGGCTCATGTATTTGAACACTTGGTCTCCACCTGTGGAAGTGCTGTTTTAGAGGGCTTGGAACCTTTAAGAGGGAGGTCCTCACTGGAAGACATATGTTACAAGGAGACTGGCAGTAAGAGTTAAATGACCCTATTTCTGCCCAAGCCTTCTAATTCTTAGTCTGTGGATATATCATCAAGAAGCCTCAAGTCATGGCCCCAGGAATTTAATTCAGTACAATCATCATACCTTCCCTTTTGGGGTCAATACAAATTATTCCTCACTCAAGTAGCTTTGTGTCTAGTATTTAGTCAAACCACTAAAAAAGTAACTAAGACAGGAATGGGGTCTTTGCTATAATATATTTGAACATGTAATTCTTAGGCTTTTGGACCTGGTGTGTGAAAAGAATATAGAAGAGTCTGAAGTGGTAGTTGAAAGAAATCCTAGAAGGCCATAAACAGAGATGATGGGCAATTCTAGTAGGAGTTTGGAAGACCACCATGCTGATAAAAATGTGGACAGTAAAGGCAGGGCTCATGACATTTCAAAAAAAAAGTAACTGTTCTATTAGCCTCTCTGTCTTAAGATACACTTCTCATCAATGATCCTTCCTATATCCTGGCTTCCACAGACTTCATTCTTGAAATTGAAAGGAACTGTGAAGAGTTAATTTTTTTTTATTTTTATTTAAAAAAAGTTATCTTTCATTTTACACACCAACCCTAGTTCCCCCTCCCTCTCTTTCTCCCACCTTCCCCACCTTCTCTCCTCCTACCCCCCATTCACACCTCAGAAGGAATAAGGCCTTCCTTGGGAAGTCAACAAAGTCTGGCATACCAAGTTGAGGCAGGACCAAGCCCCTCCCCCCCTGTATCAAGGATGAGCAAGATAGACCATCATAGGGAATGGGCTCTAAAGAGCCAGTTTATGCACCTGGGATAGGTCCTGGTGTCACTACCAGCCCCCACCCCAACAGATCAAGCCATATAACTGTCACCCACATTCAGAGAGCCTACTTTGGTTCTATGAAGGCTCCCCAGCCATAGCCTGTGAGCTCCCACTAGCTTGGGTCAGCTGTCTCTGTGGTTTTCACCATCGTGCTCTTTGACACACCCCACCTTGTTCATAAGATCCCTCCTCCCTCTCTCTCAGCCGAGTGCGTGGCTATGAGTCACTGCATCTGCTTCCATCAGTTACTAGATGTAGGCTCTATGATGACGATTAGGGCAGTCCCTAATCTGATTATAGGGGAAGGCCTGTTCAGACATCCTCTCCACTACTGCTAGGAGTCTCAGCTGTCATCCTTGTGGGTTCCTGGAAATTTCTTTAGCACCAGGTTTCTTCCTAACCCCATAATGGCTCCCTCTATCAAGATATCTCTTTCATTGTCCTTCCCCTCTTCTCTCCCCCAATTCTGACTTCTTGATCCATCCTGTTCCCATTCCCCATCCCCTCCCTTCTACCTGCCCCTCCCAGTTCACCCAGGATAGCTTAACTATTTTCCCTTCCTGGGGCCCTCCATGTGTGTCCCTCTTAGGAATCCTCTTTTTTCCTAGCTTCTGTGGGGTTGTGCATTATGATCGAGAGGATGTGGAGTAAGGGGAGCATTCCTCCATTGCTGGAGGAGTGCAAACTTGTACAGTCACTCTGAAAATTAGTATGATCATTTCTCATAAAATTGGGAATCAATCTACCCCCAAGACCCATCAATAACACTCTTGTGTACCCAAAGGATACACATTCATACCACAAAGACATCTGCTCAACTATATTCATAACAACATTATTTGTAATAGCAAGAACCTGGAAACAACCTAGATACCCCTCAACGGAAGAATGAATAAAGAAAATGTGGTACATTTACACAATGGAGCATTACTCAGTGGTTAAAAAAAAAATGACATCTTGAAATTTGCAGGAAATGGATGGAACTAGAGAAAAAGCATCCTGAGGAAGTAAGCCGGACATGGAAAGACAAACACAGTATATACTCACTCATAAGTGGATATTAGACATAAAGCAAAGGATAACCAGTTAAAAATATTTTTTCAAAAAAAGAACTCACATCTTAATCTTAATAAACATTTTAATTAAAAATATGTTGTGTGTGTGAGTGAGAGAGAGAGAGAGAGAGAGAGAGAGAGAGAGAGAGAGAGAGAGATACAATTCAGGATGATGATTCCCTCTCTCTCAGAATCTATCAATATCCATTAGTTCAGAAGCAAGGGATAGAACACCATGGCTCCCCCCCACTCCTGCCAATCATAACTTCATTGTTGACAGGACCAGTCTTGCACAAGCCCAGTGCTACTAAGTTCATGACTACAATAACTATGTCATGCCTAGAAAATGGCATTTCACAGTCCTTCTTCCTATCTTATGACTCTTACATTTTCTTTTATTAAGTTTGTTCTTTGACAATTTCACATACGATAATCACTGCAATGTATACAATTCTTACCCTCTCTACTCTCTCTTACCTGATTTTTAAAAAGTGGTACTTAGAAAAATGGAGATTTAAAAAGGAAATCTAAGAAACAGATGGCTTCATTATTGAAAACTATCAAATACTTAAGGGAGTCATACCAATCCTTCACAAATTCTCAAAAAGTGACTCACTTTTAGAAGTGACTATTACACTATTCTAAGACATCAAACTAACAATACAAAACAAACTAAATATGAAGTAACACAGAGTCTAACTTCATCACAAGGAAAAATGATAGGTATGAAAAGTATGTCTGAGAGCAATAATCACTGTTAAAATCCAAGCCCACTTCACTATAACACTGTATAACTTATGTGGGGTTGTTGGTCACAGAGATCCCAAAGATTCCAAACTAACAGTTCTTTACAGTCCTGATGTTTGCCCACTAGAACTAGAATAGAAGAGTCTACTGCTGAAGATGATGCATACCTTGGTTCCAAGATATAGAGCAAGCAATCTGGAACTGTGTAAGTGCTATAGGAAAAGGCATCAACAATCAATCCAGCTGTGAGCCCCATGAACTACAAAACAATGTCAGGAAAGATGTGCCCACCTGTCAATAGTGGTAGGCCTGTAATGAAATCATCTGATTCTGAATCTATCTTCTCCCCAAGCAGGGCCTATAACTTCAATACTAGAAGGCTACAAAGAAGGGAAGGAGGGAGAGACAGAGGCAGGGAGGGAGGGAGGGAGGGAGGGAGGGAGGGAGGGAGGGAGGGAGGGAGGGAGGGAGGGAGGGAGGGAAGGAAGGAAGGAAGGAAGGAAGGAAGGAAGGAAGGAAGGAAGGAAGGAAGGAAGGAAGGAAGGCCTGCAGGGTGGTGGTGGCGCATGTCTTTAATCCCAGCACTCGGGAGGCAGAGGCAGGCGGATCTCTTCGAGTTGGAGGCCAGCCTGGTCTACAGAGTGAGTTCCAGGACAGCCAGTGCTGTTACACAGAGAAACCCTGTCTCAAAATAAAACAAAACAAACAAACAAAAAAAACCAAAAATACAACAAAAAAAATCAATACAACCTTCAAATTACCTCTAAGCAAAGATAAAAAGAATTCCCTTAGCCTTCCCATAGGTCCCAAATGCTACATGCTTGTAAGTGTGAAAAGGAGTAAAGGAACGCTTAAGCAATTTATCCACAAGAAAGAATTGAGGGTAGCAGGCACAGAGGCTAACACCTCTAATTCCAGCAACTGGGATCTCTATGAGTTTGGGGGGGGGGGGGAGAGAGAGAGAGAGAGAGAGAGAGAGAGAGAGAGAGAGAGAGAGAGAGAGAGGGAGAGGGAGAGGGAGAGGGAGAGGGAGAGGGAGAGGGAGAGGGAGAGGGAGAGGGAGAGGGAGAGGGAGAGGGAGAGAGAGAGAGAGAGAGAGAGAGAGAGAGAGAGAGAGAGAGAGAGAGAGAGAGAGAGAGAGAGAGAGAGAGAGAGAGATTAGGAAACATAGTTATTTGTTCCTTCTTTGCTGTCACTATCAAAGATCAGAACTTGTGCCTGAATACCTTGATTATACTTGTTCTTTTGAAGGGACAAGCAAAAGCACTTTGTCCTAAGTGCTGCCAATTTGACTTAAGACTCCATTTTACCTATAGGGTGAAACAAAGTTCAGGTTCCCAAGCCCTAGGGGAGCTGGGAACTTTCCAATGGCTGAGCAACCTCCTCATTAGACAAGAGAACCAGTCTGTTAGGCCCTTAGTTCTCTAAAACACTGTGGCTGTTCCTAAGAACAGAAAGAACTAATGAATCTGATCAGCTAGAGTGAAAAGGCGACATTCTGTGTTGGTTGGCATTGGTGAAACACATAGGGAAATTCCCTAATCTTTTGATTTCTGATTGTCGAGAATTGTACCTATAACTTGGCAACAAATGTTTATGGTTTTGTGCTTATAAACCCTGCTTCTGTTCCTGATCTGGGCTGTCAGGAAAAGCAAGGCTCCTGAGTCCTTGTCTTGCATTCCCAGACAACCAGCTACTCCACTTACGTGTAACTTATTGAAGTCTATGGAACCCACAAGTGTTGTCACTCTCCCTCGTGGCATACAACAGATTGGACATGACATTTTCATTCTTGAATACAGCTAAATGTTTCCAAACTCTATCTTTTGAAATAAGTAATGAGTGCCTCAGCTTCAATTTAGAAACACTATGCTTTAATTTATCATATTTCTCTGAATTTGAGGGATGTCCCTATCCCATTCCAAAATCTGTAAAACAGGCCCGTTTACTTTACTCGCACCATTTACGGTTGTGTTTACTCAACAGCTTGCAAAACAGAAGGAACTACATATTTTAAAGGATCTGAAGAATGGTATTCTAGTCTATCCAACAGTAAGCAAGCAAGCAAGCAATAGATATTACTTGCAAAACCAAAACTTAAATGACAAACAGAAGTTTAAAAGATATATAAATAAAAGGAATTTTAAACTTCCGTTTTTAAAACATTTATACTAAGTAACAAAACATATGCTTACAGAAAAATAAGATACAAAAAGAACAATTCACCAGTGCTTTCATCTGGTAACTGTGACAAGATTAAACTGTAACATATAGAACTGAAATATTTACGCCCTAACCACTGCTTCCTAAGATACACTAAAAATTTTGAAAAAAAAAAAGAACAAAAAGACCACACTCTCTTTAGAAACATAAAAGATAAAGTGTAGAAGGAAGTTTAGTATGATGTTCTCACTATAAAAAGCTTTATGAAGTAAGCTGGGCTTGGGCTTGGTGGCACTTGCCTTTAATCCCAGCACTCAAGGCAAAGGCAGGTGATCTCTGTGAGTTTGAGAACAGCCTGGTCTACAGAGTGAGTTTCTGGACAGTCAGGCTACACTGAGAAAACCTGTCTCAAAAAAAAAAAAAGCAAAAACTTTATAAGTATGAATTAAAAAACAGTACATCATAAAAACTTACTATCCTTTAAAATTATAAACCTTGCCTTTCTTTCAAAGACCCGATATGATAGTACCACAGATTTTCCCAAAATGAAGTCATTAACATATTTTCCAGACTTTACAATTATACCAACCTTCAGATCCCATGATGAAGTGATGGATATCAGGGCCTGTTGACATACGAGGTCCTTGGGAGCTTTTCTCTATTACTCCTCTAGGTGTTACCATTTTCATATGAACCACCTGTTGAATATAAGACACAGTGTAAACTCCAAGCAAATGTTAAATATGTGTCTGTACTTGCAACACATACATTTACCTCTTTAATAAAACACCACCCATTACATAGTTGTGATGCCCTTCAGAATTCTCACATATTTTACTGATCTGTACACTAAGGATGAATATAATTTTCAACATTTTTCCAAGTTAGACAAGATACTAGTATCATGACTTACTATACTTTTATGTCTATACTTTTATTAAAGAATTATTAACACTCTGAAATGTTTTAAGAGTTCTATGTAGCCACAAAGACTAAAATACTGACCTTATTAGAGTTTTTTTTTTTTTTTTTTTTTTTTTTTTTTGGTTTTTCAAGACAGGGTTTCTCTGTGTAGCTTTGGAGCCTATCCTGGCACTCGCTCTGTAGACCCGGCTGGTCTTGAACTCACAGAGATATGCCTACCTCTGCCTACCAAGTACTGGGATTAAAGGGGTGCAATACCAACACGCCCCGGCTTAGAGTTTTCATAAAAGTAATGAAAACTATGAGTTTCAAAAGATACAATATGTTACAAAGAAATTTAAAAATAAAATGTTACATAATAACGGGCAGTAAGTGAGTTAATTGTATGCAGAATCTTTTCCCTTTTAAAAATCTTTAGAAAAAGAGGTTAAACTTTTAACACTTTAATGGTCTATCAAGCACTTGCCTGACATAAAGTTCTTAATAATCTAATGGCAACCCCAAATTATTTTTCTCTACAGATGGATTTAGTTTTAATACCAAAAGAAAACTGTAGTTTTTATAGAACAGGAAGCATTTTTATAAATGTAAAATACTGGATAATGACTGGTAAGAACTAATGTCTCTTATGAAATGATTCTGATACTCCTAGCAACAGAAGTATTAATAAAAACCCTGAGACGTTAGACTTAAAGAACTAAAGAAGAACAATATTAGCAGTATTACTTTAATTTAACAGCCTCATAGGTTTTTTTTTTTTAAGTACTATCACCACCCAGCATGGTATTGCCTGTCTGTACCCTAGCAACTAAAATAGAAATAAGAAAATTGCAAGTTCTAGGCTAGTCTGAACTAAATATAAATCGCAAGACAATGTAGGGAAATGTCAAGTTAAATATGTTATCAAAATATTAACATTTATGAACCACCTACTATACATAAGACCAGTGAAAATTGCATTTTATGTCCTTTAACCATATAGTAATTCTAATATAATCATTGCATTTTACAGAAAAGAACACTGAAGCTCGGAAAGGTAAACCAATTTGCCCCCAGAAAAACTGCAAATGCAACAATGGTATCTAACACTTAATAAGGCACCCACAGTTACAGCAGTATCATGTTCCCAGAAGCCTCGCACACATTAAATACGACAGCCTATACCACTACGATAGAACCATTTCAATGAGGTTCTTCCACTGTATACAGAAAAAAGAATTACTTCAGAAAAGTAAATGTAAAATCTCCTAAAGCAAGAATAGCAATGATATCATGGGGGGGGGGGTATGATGACCACTTAACTCTTGATGGAGTTAAATAAATAAAAAACATTTATTTGCATATTTTATAAGTTAGATACTATAAAACAACCACAAATCTTAAATATTAGTCATTTTTAAAAGGACGTCTTTTTTTGTAATAGCCAGAACTTGGAAGCAACCTAGATGCCCCTCAACCGAAGAGTGGATAGAGAAAATGTGGTATATTTACACAATGGAGTACTATTCAGCAGAAAAAAACAATGGAATCCTGAGATTTGCAGGCAAATGGATGACACTAGAAGAAACCATCCTGAGTGAGGTAACACAGTCACAAAAAGAGAAACATGGCATGTACTCTCTCATATATGGATTTTAGACATAGATCTGGGTAGTGCCAGCCTACAATCCCATGGCCGGAGAGTCTGGGAAACAGAACCTTCATTCAGTGGCTGATGGAAGCAGAGGCAGACTCCCACGGCTAAGCACTGAACTGAACTCAAGAAATCCAGTGACAGAGAGGGAGGACTGATGATCAAAGGGATTAAGACTGGGCTGGTTTAACCCCCAGAAAACAGCTGACCTGACAAAGGTTAACTCTTGAATCCCAGGCTGAATCCATCATGGGACTGATCAAGACCCCCTGAATGTAGGTGCCAGTGAGGAGGCCTAGGTAATCTATTGAGCCTTGGGCAGTAGATCAGTACTCATCCAGAGTATACACACGGACTTTGGACTCCCATCCAACAATGTGAGAAGCACTCTCACCCTGAACTCTTGGGGGAGGGTCTAGGCCCTGCCCTGGTTGAAATGACAGACTATGGACACCCCCATGGGAGGGCCTCACCCTCCCTGGGGAAATGGGGGGATAGGGGGGGGTTGGGGGGGAGGGCACGAGAGAAGGGGAGGGAAAGGGAGAGGGACCTGGATCTGACTTGTGAAGCAACCTTGTTTCTAATCTAAATTTAAACTTAAAAATAATAAAAAAGGACATCTTTAACTATGACCACAATTGTATCTTTTAATTGCTTCTACTATGCACAATCAGTATTACTATAATCAAAAGGAGTATATTTGGAAAGATTTACCATTTAATCCTTAATATTTATTTATTTATTTGTCTATTTATCTATCCATCCATCCATCCATCTATCTATCTATCTAGGCTTTTCAGACAAGGTTTCTCTTCGTAACAGAACACTGGCTGTCCTGGAACTCACTTTGTAGACCAGGCTGGCTTTGAACTCAGTGATCCTCCTGCCATTGCCTCCTGAGTCCTAGAATTAAAGGGACAAGCCACCATGCCTGGCCAGATCCTTAATTTTTAAAGGCTTTAAACACTTTATTGTATTTTGTAAATACTAATCATTAGACAGTAACTAGAAATAAATTTACCAGGTCCTCAATATTGCCATAGATATTTTTCTTCATGCCTGATGCTCGTGTGGATATCCATCCTCCCACAGTGCTGAATTCCAGAGAGTCTGGTTCATGACCTGTACAATAACCACTTTCTTTAAGCTGAAAAACAAAAATGTAAAATTTTATAGCAAAAATGGTCCCATTTCACACAGCATTCAACACATTTACTCCTTCAATTTGTTTCTAGTATTCTTGACACATTAACCCAATAAAGAAAACTTTTTTTTTTGTCCAGTGGAAAACCTTCATAAAACTGAAAAAGTAAAGGTCAAAAACCACTACTCTTCACATTATTTTGTTTTCAAAGCCAGCTGAACCTTCCTTGTGCCCCAACCCCTTAAAGAGACACTTTAAATACTTATGGAGATCAGATTATACTCAAATAACTGCCAACTTCACCTAACACTTTCAATAAATAAAGCACTTCATCTTTCTTTCTCCCCTACCCTAATATAATATGCAGCAGGCCTCCAGAAAATCTGAGCAAATTGCCTGTACTTAATTCTCTCAAGGAGTCGTGTGTTTTAATGTACAGCCATCTGGCTAGGCTTCCCAAATGCAATACCATCATTTACTTGTGATGTGGACCAAGCATTCCTGTACATTAAATAGTCACTCGTCCCTCATTTTTCTATATTAGCTTGGCTTCACCATCTGTACAGCACCTGAGGTTGAATGGATGCCCTTTACTGCAACAACACCAAAGCCATTCCACTGAAATCATTTTAAAGTCTCGGCCATCTCCTGTCAAACGGTACAGACACCACCATCTGTATACTCGCTGCAGCCTGCACTCAAGCCCATCAATCTGTGTTGACCATTTGATAGTCATCCAGTGCAGCAACTAACTGCTTTATTTCTCAAGTAAGTCATGCAGAGATGGCGAGCATGTCAGTGATGTCTGTGCCATGTATCTCAGTGTAAGTGTGGCATGCAAGTTGTAATCCAAAACGTAGAAGCCCATTAGTTTAAAAATAAATTAGGCTTTACATGCCAGCAATGCAAATTATATTTTCTAATTTTGCTTCAGGAAGACAGAATTGAAAGAACATCACTTGTTCCTTTTTTCACTAAATAGTCAATATATTTATTTTTAAGAGATTAATAACCAATCATAAATAAACAAGGGTAAAATGAAAATTATCAGTGCATTAGATTTCCACCAGAGCTCCATCTTCAAAACAATCTATATGGACATTCTTTTCTCAGCTTTATTAAATAAGAAGAAAAAAATTCATGAATCCCTAAGATATGTTAGCACCTAAACAGGATTTGTTTTGCCACCCTGATTGTGATGATGCTTCAGGGATATTAAGTGTCAAACAGCACATTTTAGATGACTGCAAATTACCCACACCTCACTGAAACTATTAGAGAAATAAAACAAAAATATATGATCCATAATGCAGAAAGCTTACTGGCTTGCTCTCCATGGCTGACTCAGCCTGCTTTCGTATAGAACCCAGGACCACCAGCCCAAGGATGGTACCAGCTGCAATGAGCTGGCCCTTCCCCATCAATTACTAATTAAGAAAATGACCTGCAGGCTTACCTACAGCCTGAGCTTATGGAGGCATTTTCTCAATTAAGGTTCTCATCTCTCAAATGACTCTAAGCTGTGACAAGTTGACATAAAAATAGCCAGCACAGGTGGCCAGACACTATTCCTAAAAATTTAATGGATATTTAAGTTTATGAAACTTCAGAGTTAAAATTCTCCTCTCATTTGAAAAGATAGAGGTCTAGCCCTATAGAATATAATGTGGTAGCAGAGTGAGAAAATAAGCCATGTACAAAAATAATCCACAGTATAAATATAACATAAATTTGCTATTTGTTATTATCATTTACCAATATTCAGTGATAGTTAAAGATACTATGTGATGCTGATTCTCCCATAAATTTAGCAGTCATGTTGAAAAGGGAAAATTTATTAGAGGAATAATTTCTGTGCATTGAGCCTTGGATGTAAGTATAAAGTCTGAGGAATGTAATGTGGGGGTATGTTACAAAATAAGTAATATTTGAGGTGACTACAAACTTTATCACTACACTTCAGCTTTTGCAATTCCTATTACACAACCAAGGAATCGGCACTGAGGACGTTTGGAAATCTTTAGCTATTAAAGGAATCAAGTTCAGTGTACCTGAATCAAGTAAATAATGTTTGATAAAATTAATGGAATAAATTAGTAACATACTTCATTTTAGAAACTACCTTGAGAGGTAACACCTCTACTTCATATATGAAGATTCTGAAGCATAAAGGTTATTAGTAGTCTGTCCAACATGGCACAGCTAAGATCTATATTGGAAGTTTAAAGGAAGCACTAGTAGCTACTTGAAACTAAAACAAAACAAGGTACTATGAAATTATTTATAATGTTATCTCTGGAAAGAAAAAACTTAAGCACACATACCTAAGACTATTAGATTTAAAAAAAGTCGCCAGAGATTTAATAAAACCTAAGGAAACCCCCAAATCGGTAACTGGTATGTTAGCAATGTACCATAACATTTAACCATATTAAAAACCAATGTAATTTACAAGTTCAAGAAATTAAAATCTGCTATTCAACTTGAGTGTCTGCGTCACTTTAAGCCTTCTCTGAGGAATGAACAGGACACTATAAGCTTGTTTTCTTGGCTGAAGTAGAACTTCACGAGGAGGGATCTGATGAAGATGGCTTCAGGCCCAGCTGTGACAGCCACTGCAGACACAGGAGGGTCTGTGTTGCAATAAGAGAAACAAACTAGCAGGTACGATCACCTACTGGAGAGAAATGTCACTTAAGTTTCAAGGAGATATGTTCCTTGAATTTTAATTTTAACCTTTAAAAAAAAAGAAAAACTTAGAAAGGTTAAAATACTACATCAAATGTTAAAATAAAGGATATAAAACTGGAGGCCTAAAAGGCCATTCTTTGTTGTTAAAGAAAATGGCTGTCGATAATGTCTCTCATTCAAGCTAATGGAAGATTAATCTAGGATCTTCTAGATGCTTTTCATTGAATATTATCAAAGTTCACTAGACACTGCAATAATTAATAAATTCTTTATCTTTGCTATATAAAGCCTTGATTTGTTTGAAGATCTCTAACAATACCTCAACAAACCTGCTCGATTTTAAGTTACTTTTCAGATCATGGAGATAAAATGCCTTAGCTGGGCAGGTGGTAGTATTTGCTAGCTACTGAATTTCTCCAAATATAATTTCACTAAAACCTACTCATAAGTGAAACTTTTAATACTTCAAAATCTTTTAGTAATATAACAAAATTTTCAAGAATTAGTCACAAGTAGACCAAATTTAATCATTTCAAAAAGGGGGGGGGCACAAAATAAAATTAACAATCTGTCTCTTACTAAAGGTTCAGGGATAAACTATAATCTGGTTTGAACAAAGCAACTGATGTGTCACCAACAAATCTCAACTCCTAATTTTAATTTATAAAAGCTGGGTTACAGTCATCTTGACCATATTGGGGAAGTTTAAAGAATCAATTTTTAAATTTGGGGAGGGATTCATTTATTTTTATGTATATGGGTGTTTTGTCTGTATGTATATCTGTGTACCACATTCTATGCAATCCCATGTAGGCCAGAAAAGGGTGATGGATTCCCTTGGCACTGGAGTTGCTGACAATTGTGAGTTGCCATATAGGTGCTGTGAATTGAACCCAGATCCTCTGATGGCAGTCAGTGCTCTTAAATGCTGAGTCATCTCTCTAGGCCCCATAAATCAATTCATTTTTAATAATTACCTACTCAGAACCCATAAACATAAATTTTTAAATTCATTCAAATACTGAGAAAGAGCAGAAGATTAAGGGTCCTAAAAGCAACGACTGCCCATACCACTCCTACACACACTTCTTCCTTAGAGCTGACCTCTTCACCTGGTCTCCTTTCTGCTACTCTGACTCTTCCCTGAGTCTCACTTTATTTTATTAATTTTTAAGGTTATCATACCAAGTAATGTCATGATGGCAATTTCCTACATAACTTGTTCCTATTCATTCCCTTCTATTGAGTCTCACTTTAAATGTCAAACCTCTAGGATACATAATTGTTCAAGTTCTTCCTACTGGCCCCATTTGATGACACATACATAGTCTTGCCTTGAATCATTCATTGTCTATTTCTCCAATCTTCTATCCCAATGTAAGTCCCCTGAGGGCAGGGAACAGTGTTTCATTCACTACCGTATTCTCAGTTCTAGCTCAACCTACAACAAAAACTGAGCAGATTCACTGAGTGACCAACGTATTGTGAAAGGTGCTTCCTTCAGACAGAGAATATAGCTGTTTGAAGAGAACATACCTGTCTTTCCAACTCCTGTCCTGTTATCCCAGCCTCTACGTGAGCTGTCAGATTGTTCTCATCAACCCAGAGAATCCGGTTCTGTTATAAAGGAAGAGAGGTCTCATTTCTTTGAGCCATTAACAGTTTCTTAGGAAATACCTAACTTGCAGATTTAAAGCTTCAGTGACAAAGCAGTAATCAGGAAGTAAGGAAAGTAAGCCCCCTTATCCTTACTCTGCACCATGATGTTGCAACAAGAGCAGTACGTTTGCAGGTGCTGGAGTAGATACACACACTCCACCTTTGTGCAGACATTAAGCTAAATGCAACTGCTTAGCTTAGGCAATAACTATCTAGTCTTAGTGAGTCCTCAATTGTAAAATGTAGACAGTAGTGATATATTCCAAAAGGATTGCTAAAGGAATAAATAGGATAGTCCATATTTAAAAAAAACAGTATATAGGAAACATCTATTTGTGATGCTGTTAACATAACAATCATATATAAGAATCGGGAAATGGGACAGAAAAAAAAACACCTTCTACGATATTTAAACATAATACACAGCATCTCTGCACCTAAAAAAAATTCTGAGAAAAAAACAAGAAACAAAACACATTATTCATGCCTCACACTCCAAAAAAGGAACTGAGCCAGGATGGTGGTGCATACCTGTATTTCCAGAGGTACACAGGAGGATCAGGAGCTAAGGTATCTGCAACTACCCAGAAATCTAAGAACATTCTAGAGCCTATTCCAGAATAGGGTATGCTTAAACTATCTTGAAGACACTGTCATTTCTTAAACTCCAGAATCAGAAGAAAGGCTACTGAGGAGTGTTACAAAGCAAGCAGCAGTTACTATCAAGTTTAGTCCCTATTTCTCCCAATATTATATGACGTTAAAAAGCATACAATAAGCTGGGCGTTGGTGGCACATGCCTTTAATCCCAGCACTCAGGAGGCAGAGGCAGGCGGATCTCTGTGAGTTCGAGGCCACCCTGGTCTACAGAGGGAGTTCCAGGACAGCCTCCAAAACAATACAGAGAAACCTTGTCTTGAAAACACCCCCCCCCAAAAAAGGAAGAAAATACAATAAAGCCATAGATGCACTAACAAGTGATTTGACCATTACCCAAAGTAAGTATGTATCCAAAGCATGCCCAATTATGTGTTGATTTTTTAAGCAAATAACATGTACTTAAAGAACAGATTGCCATATCTATAAGATAAGCTTTCTATGAAGGAGGGAGGCAGGGAAGCAGTGGAGACAGGAGGAAAGGAAGATGAAATCTAGATCAAGGACCTATAAGAAAAACTAAAGACACCAAGGAAGAAAGCAGATGAATTCAAAATGTATCATTCCATACTACAAACAGCCTACTTTCTTCAAAAGTCCAGAATGTTGGGAAAACGATAAAAGATAAAACGATACCTAAAGAGAAACAACCAAAGTTAACAAGGCCCTTTTTAGAGTCCCATTAGAACTAATCAACTATCATAAAAACACCTTTAAAAATAGGTGTGAGTTAACTGATTTTGGCTTGACAAGGGTGATAAAATAAACACAGTAGTTATATGAGAAAAGGACCTTTTTTAAAAGAGACAAAACAGACACATCAAGATTTGTTTTTAAAGTCCTAGAAAAAGGAAAGAGCAAATGTAACAAAACATTAGTAACTGTTCACTCTGAGCATAGACATTCTGTTCCCTCTACCTTTGCTGTTCAAAGAAGATTCAAATTAAAAAGTTCACACAAAGTTGATACTTAGGACTACTACTGATGGATGAAAGTAAAATTCAATTTGGATTAAAGCCTTAACACCATCCAGCTTTCAGACCTTATAAAAACCAGCTCTCCATTCATCACCAGCAAAGGTGCAAAAGCATTGGGTTGAGTCTGAGAGGCAAGTAGGTATGCATTACTCATAACTAATAATAGTTTCTTTACAATAATAGACAGCAAGCTATCCAGTCTCAAGCTTCAAAATTATGCTTTTCAAATGATCAATTTACATGCTAATTTGGCAGTACAGTACCAAGATCTGTATCTTAGAACAAGAGAACCTACTTCTAATTACCTGAACACGAAGCTAAAATACAGTATTAAGAAAATGATTTAAACAGAAAACAACCCCAAATAGATCTTAGAATATCATATACCATTTGTGAAGTGTCCAGAGAAATTATTGTTCTTGTCTCATCTGCAGGACACATCAAGCCATATGACACACTTGTTCCTCCTGTCAAAACAGGAAACAAAAACTTTATGTTTACCTATTTTGCTTCCACTACATTTCTGGAACAAATCCCTAGTACAGAGAACACAAATGGGCTTGCTAGCACCGACACTTATTTTTACTTTACAAAAGCTAACACACTGAAAACAAAGTCACCTTTATTTTATGCAACTAAATGTCACATGCAGACTACTATGGAACTGAAAGCAATGGGCTATGGCTCCATCCCTGGACATGACACCCTCAAGGAAATCCCTAGCAGTTTGTAGGACTCCAAAATCATGATAAGCAAAGATCTACTAACAGTCACCGAGGAGAGGTAGCTTAAAAGAAAAACAAAAACATAAGTCCTGAACAGCTAGAAGTACAATTAACTACCATAACTACATGACTGTCTTTCTGTTAAATTAAGTCTTACACAAAAAGCTTCAATAAATTAAAAGGTTAAATGATCAGATCATGATATTAAAAAACAAATTTTCATACTCTCTGGTGAAAAGTGATAAGATAGGATAAACAATATGTAGGAGTATTTAAATAATGTACTCGTATTTCCTCTTAATATAACTTGTCAAAGGATAAAAGCTTTCTTAACAAAGACTAATACAACATTTTAAGTTTTTAACTTTATCTTTATCATCCCATATCAAAATAAAATTTTAGTTGATATTTCTATACAGTCTTTGTGTAGAAGAAACCTCTGGAATTCAATTTCCAGAAGAAGTAATCTGTACAACACGGCAGTTTAATTTCACCAGGCTCCAAGATTGTCAGTCGCAAGCACACCACCTTCAGTTGGTAACAACCACTTGCTTATAACATCACTAACTAAAGTGACAATCTCAGCTGCAGAGGGAATCTGGGGCTCCTAGGGTTGCTGAGGTCTGATTTCCATTGCCAATGCCAATACAGTGAGTGAAGGTCATTTCCTTTTGCTTATTAAAATCATGCAATCAACAACAATTATAACAAGAACTCAAAGATCAATTTACTTTAAGATCACTACTAGCTTTCTACAGTCAGAGGTACTGACTAGCCATCAGTGCACTGGTGAACTTTTAATTCTTAAGAGTGTTCTATGATCACTCTGGTGCTCCAAAGCTGAGACTGGGCACATTTACATTTTCCTTAGAAAAATAAAATGACTCCCCACAGACACACAGGTTAAAAAATTACTAAACAACATTTTCTTATTTCATATTAAAGTACAGCTTCAACTACAATCCATAAAGGAAAAGAACATGAATTACAAGTAAACAACAGCTCAGGCAGTGTAGGCAGACCTACTTACAACACAAACGATCATTATGAGCATCCAATCCTTTACAATGACTACATTATAATTACAATGTCTATATTCAAGAGAATACAATTAAAAACACAAATATTTTAAATAGAACAAATTTAATCATATTAAAAATTGAAAAACACAATACGTACCACCAATTGGTATGATACAAAGGTTATATTTGCACGCTAGATTCACAATCTTAACTACATCATCATGACACACTGTTGAAAAAGAAAAAGATATTAACTATAGGCACATAAATAAAATCTGCATATTTTAGCTGGGTAGTGGCAGCGCACACCTTTAACTCCAGCACTCAGGAAGCAGAGGCAGATGGATCTCAGTGAGTTCGAGGCCAGCATGGTTTACAGAGTGAGCTTCAGGACTGTTATACTGAAAAACCCTGTCTTGAAAAGCCAAAAAGAAAAAAAAATTAAAAAATTAAATCTGCATATTCTTACAAACTAAGGGTCAATAAAGCTCTTGAGCACTTGAACTTTTTCCTTATTTACTCACACCATGTTAAATGGCTGTATTAAATGACAGATTCTTTTCAACTCTGTATTTTTAACAATTTCAACTTTAATAATTGTATTTCTCAGAAACACGGGGGACAGCCTGGGCCCTGCTGCGGATGATATGACAGACTTTTGGGGATCCCCTATGGAGTGCCTCACCCTCCCTGGGGAGCAGAGGGAAGATGGGATGTGTGTTGGAGGTGGGGATGGGGGAGGAGGGAAGGGAGAGGGAGCTAGGATTAACATATGAAGCAAGTTTCTTTCTAGTTTAAATTTAAAATTTTTTTAAATTAAATTAAAAATCTTTTTCTTTTTTGCCATACTTTTATTTACTACATATACTATAAACATATACAATACATGCTACAAAAACATTTTTTAATGTCTTTCATGTCACATTCTCAAACATTGGCATCGCATACAAGGAAGGTCTATCAAAACCAATCAATTAACATTGACAAAAACAATCTACAGCCCTTCCTCCAATACCCCACTAACTAACATTCCTTTTCAGATCAAAATTCTAGTTGTGACATCTTGTTAGTCTTCTCTAAATAGACATTTCCTTATCTATCTTTGACTTTCAAGACAATGACACTTCTGAGGAACTTCAGGCAGTTATTTCAAGCAAATCTCTGAGTCTGCATGTTTCCCTAAAATTAAACAGAAATTAAACGGTTGGTGGGCATCTCACAGGAGTGAAGCTATGCCTTTCTCACCATGGTATAACCAAAGACATGTCTCATTCCTGGTAATCTTAACTTTGCTCATTTGGTTAGGTAGGTACTGTCAGTTATGTAACCCATCTAGAAGGATGTTTTATTTCCTGTTGAAATCAATAACTATGTTCGGACGATGTAAATAGCATGTTTCTCATATTTTCACCCACTAAATTTAGCACTACTGTTTCTTTATTCCTAAACAAATACTAAAATCTTACACAAAATAGAGTAGTACATGAATTCCTTTCCTTTGTATATAACGAAGTTATCTAAATAACAAAAAAACTGGCATGGGTGACTATATGCCAAGTAAGATGGTACTACTCAGGCTGTCCTTGGCACTGGGGCATGAGTGAGGCTTTAAGGAGGGAGCCACACGGCAAGAATTTCTTAGGATCAGTCTTACAGAACATCAGATCACATGGAAGGCAAGGTTTTAAGACAAGGAAACTGAAAAATTATATTAACTGCTAAGATCTTGAAAAAGAAAGAAGGATGTTAGGAAAAACAGACAAACTGATACATACTTGTTTAAGCAAAGGTCTTGTTTTACAAATGTTAAAATTATCTTTCTCAGTTTACATAAAGCTAGAAATACTTAGTCTTTGTATAATAGTTCCTTTATGGGATAAGAAACCCAGGGCCTTGAATATGCTAACCACATACTCTACCTGAAACTGCAGGCTCACTTCAATTTTTAATCAAACTATATGTTTAGGTTTTCAGACTAAGCTTATAATGTTAAGATTACTATTAGTAGTTTAAAAGATAATATATGAGGGTTAGGAATGGCTCCATGAATAAGAACACTTCCTTTGCAAGCATAAGGACCTGAGATCAAGTCTCCACTACCTACATAAAAAGCCAGGTATGGATGTATATGCCTGTAACTATGGCATTGGGCAGGTGGGAGGCAAAGGTAGGTGGATTCTAAGAGCTCAGGAACCATCCAGACTAGCAGAAATGGTGAGTTTCTGGTCAGTGAGAAATCTCTCTCAAGGCAGTAAGAGACAGAGAGACAGAAAGATACCCAATGGTCCTGCTCTGGCTTCTGCACACATTCAAAATTATGCACCATACCATATACAGAGAGGGAGAGAGAGACAAAGACAGTGAGATAGCAAGAGAAGAGAAAAAGAGACAAAAGAGAGAAAGAAACAGAGTAAGAATAATTAAAGAAATACTAGAGATATCTTTTGAAAAACAAATTAAAGCCAGGCATGGTGACGCACTCAGGGGCAGCATTCAGGGGCAGAGGCAGGTAGATCTCTGAATTCGAGGCCAGTTTGGTCTACAGGGTGAGTTCCAGGACAACCAGGACTACACAGGGAAACCGTGTCTCAGAAAAGTGGGGGGAAATGTTTAAGGCAAAATGTCTTCTACAACTGAAACTTACGTAAGAGCCTTCCTTGACTGCGTTGCCCTTGTCTGACCACAGCCCTTTCCCATGGAGCCTTTCTCATACTTCTAACAGACAGCATATCCAGTACATTACATACTTACTTTCCTCCCTAACCAAATCCACTGCACTTTATAACAGGGATTTTTCTTCCCAACTTCTTACCCTCTGTACCTAGCTGGATGTTCATAATCTGGTATGTAGCACACTGAAAATAACGCATAAATACTAACTTAATTAGGTGGAGAGTTTGGGGATTTGGTTTTTGAAACAGGCTGATTCTAAGCTCACAATATAGACAAAGATGACCTGGAACTCCTGATCCTTCTGTCTCTGTCGCCCAAGAGCTGGGGTTACAAAGATATATGATATCTAGCTCAAGTAAGGTTACATTTTTTTTTTAATTTTCAGTTTGATTTCATGTGTGTGAGTGTTTTGCCTGTGTGCATGTCTGTCTACCATGTGTACGCAGTACCCACAAAGGGCAGAAAAGGTGTTGTACCCCCTGCAACTAGAATTAACAGACGGCAGTGAGCTGCCCTATGGATGCTGGGAATAGAGTGTGGGTCCTCTGGAAGAGCAGTCAATGTTTTTAACCACTGAGCCACCTCTATAGGCTCAATTTAAAAAATTAATAATTGCTGCTGCTGGTGGTGTTTGTGTGTGTGCATGGTGGGCAGCACATTATGTGGACAATTAGAGGACAATTCTGTGGAGCTATGTTCTCTCCTTCCACCGTTATGTAGGTTCCAGGGGTCAAATTCAGGAGATTAAACTCAGGATGTCATGTTTGTAAGACAAACACCGTTACCTGCTGAGCCATCTCACTAGCTCCCAAAGTTAATTTTGCTATTGGAAATTTTGGGTTTTACATGCACACACACCAGTGGAAGCATGGGTTACAAAAGACATCCACACTATTTGATGTTCACAATGGAAAAAGTCCTACCTGAAGGGCCCTTGCTTGATCTCAAATCAGGAGAGTTCCATATAGTATAATTAAGAATTAGATTAAACAGATTTACAGACAATTTCAATAGATTTCATAGGTATGTATGCACATGTATGGGACAAAGGGAAACAACTATCTCGACATCTTGGAATAGCCTTAGATTGCCACAACATCTCAAAATGCATTGCTGCAAACTGCAGCATTCTCTTAAAACTTGCCCTCATGCAAAAGAAAACTAAGTTTCATTACCAGTAAGAAATTCACATTAAAATTAAATAAACTCTTCAGAGAACTGATAATGTATCTGGAAACAAACTATACTAAAATGATATAAAGAGTTAAAAACAACTTACTTGGCCAAACAACTATATCAGGAATCCGTTCCAACATCCCTTCCCTGAGCATAAATATCTCATGAAGACAATGACCTGTTTTGTGGTTTTAAAAGAAAAAATACAAAACAATTTAACTTACAGGAAGCTTCTAAATAAAGACAGAAACCCAACATGAGCAGTCCCAGTGTGAGCAGCACCAGCGTGAACAGCCCAGTGCAAGCAACCTACCGTGAGCTCTGAACACGCGATCATCTGCTTCCTGTGAGTAGGAAATACGCGTTTCTTTAAGTTCCTGAAGGAAATCTTCATTTACAATAGAAGGAGGTACTTCACTAGGATTTAAGGATGCCTAAAAAATAAAATTGGTTTGACTTATTTCTAAATAATAAATTTGACTCCCTCTGCTGGGAGAATGATTATAAGATGTAGATTTTAACATTCAATATATGATAAATACATAGGAAAGTATCAGGTAGTAGAGTCCAACTTGGTAACAGTAGCAAAGTACAAATTGGTTAATGATCTCCCATAACATGGGAGACTATGCTTTCTCTTTGTTTCTATGGCTCTCATTGTTACTCACAATGAAGACTGCAATAACAATAGAAAAGACAGGAAAGTCTCAAACCTTCTGTTTAAACTAAATATTATACTAGATGTGTTTTACATCGAATTTATCACCTGATATTCAATGGCCATTTTAAAATGTTGCACAGAAACTCTTATATTAAGTAATAAAACTATTATTATTGGGCAGTTTTAAAATGCATGACTTGGGGCTGGAGAGCTGACTCAGCAGTTAAGAGCACTGACTCCTTTTCCAGAGCACCCCCATGGTGTCTCACAACCACCTATAATGGGATCAGATTCCTTCTTCTGGTGTGCATGAATAAAAACACATGACTTAATTATAAAATTGGTACTCAATTTCAGCTAGTACCTTGAAGCTCAACCTTCAACTGTAAAGTTAAAACACACTGTGCATGCCATTCAACTTCCATGAGTCTCAGTTAAAGAGATTAACAACCGAATGTGTACGGCTAAACTAATTTTTATGAAAAGCACCTAAGAGCACGTCAAACATATAAAATTGAATATAAACAAAGTTAATACATTATTTGGAATAAAGAATATATAAGAAAATATAAACAGAAATGTCTGATATTTCTAAGTCTGTTAAGGTACTGTATTTGTTCAGATAAATACTTATTTTTACTGCAAAGAGCCAGCTACTATTCTAAGCACTGTGGATACAGCAATTAGAGTTAATAGGGATGGAAACATGGAAGGGTACATTCTTGCCTTCATAAAATTTATCCTATAGTTACTAAAAGGAAAAACCAAGAGAATTCCAACAAAGCACTGTCTGGCAGTTTAAATTATTAAAAAACAGAAGTGCAGTTACAAACTATTGTGAGCCATCACGTGTGTGCTCTGGGACTGAATCCAGGTTCTCTACGAAAGTATTAAGTGTTCTTAACTATTGCTCCAACTCCTAGAAACAATTACATGCTGAATATAGTATATAAAATAGTCCATATTTCTGGCCTGGAATACCAATTAGAGAGATGAGATGACTACTTCATGTATAGCAAAATAACAATAATAATATTGACAATATGAAGGAATGTCAAATATTTCACTGGTTTCATATGTATAAAGTTTAAGGATTTTTTAAGATTTCTTGTTTGGTTTCGTTTTACTCTTTTCTTAAGACAGGACCTCATTATGTAGCTCAGTCTGATCTTAAACTTATAATCCTCCTGCCTCTACCACCCAAATGTTGTGATTTCAGACATAGGCCACTGACACCATGTCAATTTAAAAATGTTTAACACCACGTTCTGAAAAGTGGAACTACAAAAACTAATTAAAATCTTGTTTCTTATCTTATTCAAATTGTCACATTTTAGTAATTCTTCAAGTATCCTATCATTCTAAAACTGATATGAAATAATATTTAAAATTTATTTTCACATATTTATCCTAGATTAATAACAGCCTATTACTTTAAAATCAGCCTGTTATGTAAAATCAACAGCTCTCGAAGAATGAATTAGCTTACATTCACCGCCGCCTGTACAAAGTAAACAGTCTTTACATTCATCTTAATTTAGAATCACCCAGGCACAGAAAGGATTAAATCTGCCTGATAAATCTGTAAAATTCTGAGGCTGGGATCTAGATCTCAAACACTAGAAAACTGAACTTAACAAGACCAGTATAACAGGCTTCACGAAAAGATAACTGTACCAAACAATGTAACAAGTTATGGTGATAACTGAGTAGGCATAAAAAGTATAACTGAACATTTTTAACTATTGTTTGCTTACTTTAGAGGTAGTTTTATGCTCCAGATTTACTCCAAGGGTGTTTTGAATCCAGTCTTTCAAAGTTGGTAAAGCCAAGCCACTAAGAGGGTACCTAAGGTACAAAGTAGATAAAGAATGCTAAGAAAGGTGTCTTTATCTAAATGTGAAGGTTATGTTCTGCTCCTGGAATGATCAAGCAGTTCCTAAAAGTTCTATTAACAAAACTGCTTGTATACTACATATTTAATTCCAGAGTACCTAGATCCTATATCCATGTTTGGGGACTTATTCTTGTATGAGCTTTGGAGAGAGGGGAAAACTGCCTACCCCTAAAATGAATATGACAAGTACCCACGTTCCCCATGCCCACCTGCAAGAGTTTATAGAATACACCTTCATTCTTCCGTTCTCTCAACCCATGCCAGTTACAGGGACAGTCATGCAATCTTCAGTCTCTAAAACTAGCAGATAAATTCTCTATTGCTATTACTACCTAGACCAGCAGTTCTCAACTAGTGGGTTGCGAGCCCTTTGGGAGTTGAACCACCCTTTCACGAGGATCGTCTATCAGACATCCTGCACATCATATATCTATGTTATGATTCATAATAGTAGCAAAATTGCAGCTATGAAGTAACAACGAAGATTATTTTATGGCTGGGGTCACCACAACATGAGGAACTGTATTAAAGGGTCGTGGCATTAGGAAGGTTGAGAACCACTGCCCTAGATAAAGTCTCTAACAGCACCACCATATCCTCTTTGCTCTTAATTACTGTTGTCCTGACAAGCTTAAAGGTGTTATACTTCATTAGAACCCAAACCCAGATGTAAATTACCAGACTTAAATGGAAAGTCACTTCCAATAAATCAAAAGCAGAGGACAAGAGTGGCATGGGATGACTCTTTAGATCCTGATTCACACAACTATCTATAGAAATCATTTGTAAGACAACAGGGGCAATGAGAATATGGACTAAATAATAGATATTGTAACAAGCTTTGTTACTTTAGAACTGCGATAATATTAATATATGAATGGTTATGTTAAGACTTATTTTTAAAGATATAAAAGTATAGGTATCATGATGCAAATCAGAATTTAAAATGTAAGATATAAAGGAATTATAACAAAATGCTAGTAACTTTTTGCTTAGAAGAGGGGACATGAAAAGAAGGGATAAAATGAACTTTAAAAGCAGGGTTACCTTTTCCCAGTCAGCTCAACCTGGCCCTTCTTATTGAAGAAGAACTTGGAATCATTATAGCCCCATCCATTCCATTTCATAACTTCTTGCCTAATGAAAAGAAAAACATATACATGTATATACACATACAAGACCTATGCTGGTGCTAGAGACGGCTCAGCAGTTACAAGTGTGGGCTGCTCTTACAGAGGACTTGAGTTTGGCAATTAGGATCCACATGTCAGATAGCTCACAACTACCAGAAGAACCAACACCTGGATTCCATGTGCACATCACAGACCCACATCTCTCTCTCTCTCTCTCTCTCTCTCTCTCTCTCTCTCTCTCTCTCTCTCTCTCTCTCTCTCTCTCACACACACACACACACACACACACACACACACACACACCTAAAAAAAACTAAAGCTTTTTAAAAAAAAAAACTTTTGCTAAACATTTCAAAACCAAACAATGTATCATTGGCTTTTAATTTTTACAATAATTTAAAAGACCTTACATCTGTTACTATTAGTTTAAATTAAAAAATGAGAACATTAAAATGCCTACATATTAACAATTCTAAATATAAAATCACTGTAATAAGCAGTAGAAACTACACAATGAGCTACAACCAATAATTTAAATTCATCCAAAGACAGATGAAAAGGAATGTGTTTATAAAATGTTTCATTTTGTACACCAAGTTTAATGTATAGGATACAGCCTGTCATGCTCAAAATCCTGGGTCAAGTCCCTAACAGTGTAAGTAAATAAGCCATAAGATGGCCTAAATAACTCTGCAGTTAAAACTAGGCACCCACTTGAACAGGAAACTGACTTTTACATCTGTTAGAAAAACACCAGGGGCGTTGGTGGCTCATGCCTTTAATCCCAGCACTCGGAAGGCAGAGGCAGGTGGATCTCTGTGAGTTCGAGGCCAGCCTGGTCTACAGAGCGAGTTCCAGGACAGCCTCCAAAGCCACAGAGAAACCCTGTCTCGAAAAAAAAAAAAAAAAAAAAAAAAAAAAACAGCGCATAGAAAAACACCAGAATTATTAATTTTCTGCTATAATGAAAAAGACTAATATATAAGGTAGTTCAACTACTAGCAGACATATTAATAAATCAGATTTAAAATATAACCGCTACATTTTAGGCCATAAATCAAGGCTTAACATATTAAAAAGAAACTAATCTTGAATGTCTTATTAGCTTATAGTGATAGCAAGAGAAAACTATAGACACTATACAAACACATAGAGATTGAACAATGCACTCTATGGGTAACTGGAGAAATCAAGAAGTAAATTTAAAAATTCCTAGACTCAAAGGTAAACAAAAAACCAAACCTTATCAACCTCTGGGATAGTGCAAAGGTGGTTCCAAGAGCAGTTTAGATTTCTGTGATTACATCTAAACGACAGAGCACATTCAGACTTAATGAACTCCTCAGGAAGGACACAACAGATCAAGCCTGAAAGCAGTAGATGGGAAAAACAATAAAAGCCAGGGATGAAATTAATAAACAGGAACTAAAGAAGAGTGAAGAACCACAGAACCAGCCGGGCGTTGGTGGCGCACGCCTTTAATCCCAGCACTCGGGAGGCAGAGGCAGGCGGATCTCTGTGAGTTCGAGGCCAGGCTGGACCGACAGCCTCCAAAACAGAGAAACCCTGTCTCGTAAAACCAAAAAAAAAAAAAAAAAAAAAAGAACCACAGAACCAAAGTACTACACTTGGAAAATATACAAAGACACAGGGAAGTCAGTGTTAGGTTTATAAACTATCTATACTCTCCAGACTCAATGTAACTACCAGTCTAGACCTACAGATAACCACTAATGACTATATCAGCTTTCAATATTTCATTTTACATTTCCAAATGCTAGGTCTCATAATTTCAAAGACCACTTTCATCAAAATCAGTATATGCACATTATACAGGAAATACACTGGTCTGCACATGTGCAGAGCCACATTTAAGTATAGTGCTAGTTTTAGTATTACAAGGTTACCTGGTGTAATCTCTGCTACTGAAATAAGTTAGTAGCAAATGTTCTATCTATGTAATTTGAAATGAAAATAACTGTAAATAGAGTCCTTAATTGGTCCAGACAATAAAAAGCCAGAGTCAGATACAGAGGGAAATGCTGAGAGATCAGAGAAGGAGCAAGCCACAGCACACCTTACCTCCTTAGCGTCTCAGCAGACAAGAGTGCAATTTCCTATTTCTCGCTCCTTATATCCTGTTTCTCCCTCCTTATATCCTGTTTCTCCCAGCTAACTAAATGAAAACTGTTTTCTATTCAAAAAAGCTACATGTTATATTAATTCAAAATAACTTTGCCACTGTACCCAGCTAGAGAACCCACCTCTTTTTAAACTATAATGAAAGCAATAATTCAAAATAAACAAAGATGTTCTCACTAAAAAGTACTCTGCAAATTTTCCATAATTCTCAAGGAAGAAGAAAACAAAAATTGAGAAGCAAATTTTTTATAACAATTATTGTCCTAGGTCAAAGACTTTTCACACAAATGCAACATGAATATTGTACAATGAATCAGAGACAAGTAAGAAATATGTGCAAAACTCTGTAGATGTTAGTTTCTGTCCTGCCCTGTCCTACAGCTGTTTAGTCCCAAATAAACACTCAGAGGCTTGTATTAATTATAAACTGTTTGGCCAATGGCTCAGGCTTCTTATTGGCTAGCTCTCTCTCTTAATTATTAGCCCATTTCTATTAATCTGTGTATCTCTATGTAGTCTTGACTTACCACTGATGCCCAGATGGACCTCTTGCTTCCTCAGCAGCTACATGGTATCTCTCTGACTCTCCCTGCAATCTTTCTCTATCCCTCTTTGGATTTCCCACCTGGCTAAATCCTGTCTGTCCATTGGCCAAAACAGTTTTATTCATCAACCAATAAGAGAAACATATATTCACAGCTTGCAAAAGGACATTCCCCATCAAGTCTCTAGAAATAAAGTTGAGACAAAGAAATTAAGAATTTTCTCTTTGAAATCATGATTTCTTAAAACTAGGGATGCAGAAGCAAAAGGATCTCAAGTTCAAGGTTAGCCTAGGTTACACAGTGAGACCCTATCTCAAAAGGCATAAAAACAATAAAAATAACAATAAAAGCATGCTTTCTATCGATAAAATAAAGCCTCTATTTAAAAAAAAACTGCTCAAAACATCTCAAAAGCATCAAGCCAAAGATTAGATCTACAAATGGGTCACATTAATGTCTAATTTTTTTTTCTAATTTGAAACAGTCTCCGCATAGCCCTGGCTGTTCTGGAACTTGCTATGTAGACCAGGCTGGCCTCAAATTCAAAGATCTGCCTGTTCTGGGATTAAAAGTGTGGGCCTCACCTGTCTTAAATATTTTCTTCTAACCCACAAGATTCCTACATAATGTAGAAGATGGTTTGCCTAGGAATTCCTTTACTGAAAAATTTCACAGCTCAGGGTTGGAGAGATGCTCAGCATATAAGAACACTTGATGCATGACCCACCTGTAACCCCAGAACTGGGATGAGGAGAAAGGAGAAAAAGGAAGATAGCTGGGGGATTTTAATTGGTTGCTAATCTAGCTATGGGTTTAGAGGGAGTCCCTTTCTCAAAGGAATAAAGTAGAGACTATAGTACTATACAAATAAGGAGATTTGAATGCTAAAGAATATTTGGCCTTACATTTCAAAATAGAAACTATCCTAAAGAATCTCTAAGCTTTCAAATATAAGTTAATGATGCTTCCTTTCTCTTTAACCTAATCAGGAAATTCTTTTTGCAAAAGTTTGGACTGGAACATTCCTCCAAAGCCCTGTGGGGCTTAGTTCCCCAGGCAAGGCATTATAAGATAATAAAGGTGAGGTCTAGTATGTGAGTCATTAGGGGCATGTCCTAAAAGGGGACTGTGAATCCCTGATCTGTTTCTTATAGCCAAGGCATAGAATGACTAGTTTGTTCTGACACACACTGCATAGTGTGATAGGCTGCCTCACCACTGGCCCCAAACAACAGGTATCAGTCACAGAAGGATGCCTCCTAACTGTGAGTCAAAACAGCCTTTATTAAGTGACTGATCCTAATTATCTTTCTGTGTAAAAGATTGCCAGTGTCTTGATATGCACTACAGCTTTAATGTTTGCAAATGAGAGTAAAATTCCACATGTTACAAAATCTAAATCTGATCCTTAGAAACTGCCCTATCCCATCTTTTCCAGATAAAGAGGTTTTACCATGAGAGGTCATGGTCACATGGCTGAGTTATGAGTATCCATCTGTATCCCCCAGTCTCAGAAAATATCTGAAACCCACTAAATTATACCCTCTTTTCACCATATGCCCTTATCGTGGTCATTCTGCACTGGGATTGAAGAAACATTTAAGAATCAAGGACTGTAGCCATATCAATAAGCCAGGTGCCTGATACCCTCCCCAACACATAATAAACTCTGCCATTTAAAATAGCAATCCCAGGGCACCAGGAAAACTACAACAAAGATTTTTGTTTTTAATCTCAGCTTTCCCAAGAGGTAAAAGAATATCATCTCCCAATTCCTGGAACTAACTACACCCAATTTGATTTTTTGAAAACCTGACTCTCCATAGTACCAAAAGAAGACTGACTTGACTTTACTCTACAAAAGAAAGTTTTACAAACTTGAGAACCAAGTAGTACAAATAGGAAAAAGATAAATTATTTGTTGCAACAAAAGAAAATGGATAGAATAGCATCACATACACACAAGGTAGCAGTACTCTCCTAGGAGTAGTGTGGTTTGCAAACTCCATTTCCCACTCCCCAGGCCTGTTACTGGGTCATTAAGGAAAATGTTTAGACCTAGTACTATTATTACTAATCCATAGGGAGTTCCTTTATTAAGTCCTAATGCCAGGGCTTCTGAGTCTGTACCTGAAGACTAATCATCACATCCCCACTCTATCAGTAATAAATGCCAAGTTTCTGGGTCTAAATGCCATTACTTCTTCTAAGCATGATATTCTCACACAAAAATCGGGAAAAGGAAAAAGTTCGCCTACTTTTACTCTGGGTTAACAACTTTTTAAAGATTAGCTAGCTAACAACAACTTTTAAAGCT